TTTGACATGATTAGATATGAGGTATGGGCAGGAAACACATTAGGTAGTGGGTTTAAGCTAATCAAATCTTAATAGAATGGACGTCGCTATCACGCTTATCGTGAAGGAATATATATAGGGGTAGATAGCGCATCGCATAACTAACCCATCATACGGATTGCTAAGTCTCCAATAGCCGAATGACGAAGCAGAACAAGACCGCATGGGCCTGGTGCACCATATATATTCTTTATTGCTGGAACGAAAGCTTCATCTGGCGCCTCTTGACGAGAGCCCCAAACGTGTTCTTGATCTGGGCACTGGGACCGGACTTTGGGCCATAGATTTTGCGGAGTAAGGATGCATAATTATCGCCCATGTTCTCATGCGTTAACATCCACACCACCTTATAGCGAACACGAAAATGCTCAGGTTATTGGTAACGATTTAAGCCCTATCCAACCGAAGTGGTATAGAGTCTGTTCCTTTCTCCCCCCTCTTCACTACTGTAATTCAAGGAGTGATTAGAGCTTATGCTTTTTCCAGGGTACCGCCGAATTGCCAGTTTGAGATAGACGACTTTGAGTCAGACTGGCTGTATAAAATGCCATTCGACTATATCCATGCGCGTGAACTGTCAGGGTGTATAGGCAACGTCGACAAGCTTTTTCGGCAAGTATTTGACCATACAAGCTCTGGCGGCTACTTTGAACTCCAAGCTGTCAGCGCCCATTTCTTGTCCGATGATGACACCGCCGAAAAGGCTGTCACTGCTCAAGAGTGGATGAGACAAATCCGTGAGGGTGGTAGAAAGTTCGGTAAGCCGTTGGATGACGCTTGTCAGTGGAAACAGAAAATGGAAGATGTTGGCTTTGTGGACGTTACAGAAACGTTACTTAAGGTTAGTAGGCGAACTGTATACCAGTGTATCATTCTAACTCGGCCTGGAATACAGATACCCCTAGGTACTTGGCCTAAGGATGCGAGAATGAAAGAACTCGGGAAGTTTGGGTTCGTTGGGGAGCTGCAAGCCATTGAGGCTTACACGCCTGCACTTTTCACGAGAGTCCTTGGTTGGAGTGAAGAGGAGATGCAAGTATTGATGGATAAGGTTAAGAAGGAACTCTTCGACCGATCACTGCATCTATATCTTCCAGTCCATGTCGTCTATGGTCGGAAGCCTTGATGTCACGACGTCGTAAGTTTTTGGTTAATACTGTACATACATACATACAGTCGCTTTGACATATATATATACACTCGCTGACTTGATATTGGAATCAATGGCCAAGGAGCATGGCAATCTAGCCAACAAAACTCAACAAACTGTAGCTAGTAAGGAGGATTGACATTATTAACAAGGTAATTAGAGAGTTGTTAGGAGGATGTAAAAAACCCATTGCCGATGTGACTCCCGCTGTCGGAATGGTAACTTACAATCGATACGTGACATTTCCGATGACTATCCGTACCGTTTTTATCTAATCGATCTGATCTTGTTCTTAAGATCGACCTCGAAAGTGTTCCAATGGGTTATACCATTCTACTTATAGGTGCAAGTCGGGACCTAATTCATAGTGAGAGATCAAAGCCCACTCTGAAAATTGACCTAGAACTTGAACTCATCCGATGCAAGGCCCCAAGTTGTCTCCATTCCCCCGCGGGGATGAGGGTTCTTCCCTCCGCGATACTGTAGTTTGAATACAGTGCCATACGCGGCAGTACCCCAAACCTCAGCCGGCGGTGGGCCCGGCTTCGGAAGGCGGCAAAGCGGTCTGCGACGACCAGGCGGATAATCACTTTGTCGGCTTTGTATCTAACCGAAAATGTAGCTGGTTATCGACCATCATGTTGGGGTCGGAGCTGGGGTCGCTACGGTGGTGGCGCCGCTATGGATCTCTTTTTATTGCCCTCTCTTCTTCTTCGTCTTCTTTCTTTTTCCTTTCCTCAGTTTCATACTCACCGCGGTTTTGAGTCCATTGTCAAAGGTTGGTCGGCACGATGTCGCGACCTTTCGTCTCTATGTTCCGCCCAGTAGGGCGGCGGAACTTCTCCGTCTCAACTTCAAGAAGAGCAATTGATAAACTATGCGAATCAGCTCAGGAAGCCGTTAAGGACTTGAAAGGGTCCTCTACTCTCCTGGTTGGAGGATTTGGTTTCTCGGGTGTGCCCAATACTTTGATCAACGCTGTGCGTGATCGTCCGGAGGTCACTGATTTGACCGTGGTCTCCAACAATGCCGGCATGCCGGGTGCTGGTCTTGGTACGTTGCTAAAGGAAGATGGCTGCGACGCCAGCAGGATGTCAGCTAATACCAAACAGGACAGTTGCTGGAATCCGGACAAATCGGTAAAATGATTGCTTCGTTCATTGGTGAAAACAAGGTCTTCGAAAAAATGTATCTGAATGGTGACCTCGCATTGGAACTTACTCCCCAGGGTACCATTGCTGAAAAGTGTGCTGCTGGTGCAGCTGGTGTCCCTGCTTTCTATACCCCCGCGGCTTATGGAACAATTGGTCCGTCTTCTCGAACTTCTTTACCTTTGCTAGGCCAGACGAGCTGACAGTAAACAGTGCAAACTGGTGAACTCCCCGTACGTTACAACAAGGATGGCACTGTGGCGGAAACGTCCAAGCCTAAGGAAACCCGCGAATTTAACGGCAAGAACTACATTTTGGAAGAGTCTATTTTCGGTGACTACGCCCTGGTTAAGGTCCACAAGGCCGATAAGCTTGGTAACTGCCAATTCCGCAAGGCGATGAACAACTTCAACGAGGCCATGGCCAAGAACGCCAAGTACACCATTGTTGAAGCAGACCACATTGTCGAAGTTGGAGAGATCGACCCCGAGGATATCCACCTGCAGGGAATCTACGTCAACAAGGTCATTCAGAGCCAGGGTGAAAAGCAGATTGAAAAGCTCACATTCGCCAAGGACCCTAGCGAGATGCTCAAGGCCGGTGAGTCCGTTCTTGATCTTCTTCCTTTCTTCAACATAATTTCATTTCTCACAATCACCTAGGTTCCGGTGAAGCCACCGCCCGTCGTGAGCGTATCGTCAAGCGTGCTGCCAAGGAATTCCGCGACGGAATGTATGTCAACCTCGGTATTGGAATGCCCCTGATCGCTCCTTCGTATCTCCCTGAAGGCGTGGAGGTTGTCCTCCAGGCCGAGAACGGTATTCTGGGACTTGGTGGTTACCCTAAGCCCGGTGAGGAAGACCCTGACCTCATCAACCCTGGTAAGGAGACTGTCACTCTGGCCAAGGGTGCTTCTGTGTTCGGCTCTCAAGAGAGCTTTGGTATGATTCGCTCTGGACGTATTGATCTTACTATGCTTGGTGCTCTCCAAGTGAGCCAGTATGGAGGTAGGTCTTCGACTGTGTTCCTGAATTCTCCGTCACCCTCTAACAGCTGCCCATAGATCTCGCGAACTTTATGCTTCCTGGTAAGGTGAAGGGTGTCGGTGGTGCCATGGACTTGGTCGCCAACCCCGAGAAGACCAAGGTTGTTGTGACTATGGAGCACGTCGACAAGAAGGGCAACCCCAAGATCTTGCCTGAGTGCTCTTTCCCCCTGACTGGCCCCCGCTGCGTGTGGAAGATCATCACTGATCTGGCCGTCTTTGAAGTCAGCCCCACTGAGGGTCTGACCCTCGCCGAGCACGCTGAGGGTGTCACTGTTGAGGAGATCCGCAGCAAGACCGCCGCTCCTTTCAAGGTTGCGGATGACTTGAAGCCCATGTTGTAATTATAGATATCCATGCACATATAGAACGTTCAATTGATTTCGGTTTTGCTACGAAGAGGTCTCAATATTATTAATCATTTCCTGCTCTTATGCCGTCGACGCTGGAAACGGTTGTCCGATTTGTATTTGGCATTCAAAATCAAGTCATCACTCATCGCGCATGACCCACTACGCCTCAATCTCTCACTGGCCTCAGTCGCTATAAGTCATTGGTCTCTGGCTGCAACTCGAAGTCATGGGTTCTGAACATGCACGTAGTGCAGGCATAAGCTTATAAAGTTTGACATAAACCTGATACGGAAAAGAGACACGTGGGAGTTATGACAAAAAGCACTTCTACCTCATCGCTCCCGTATCACGACTAGCAAGTGTCTCCTTGTCATACTCGGCCTAATCATCCTGCCAATCAAATGTTTATTCAGTCCATGCAATTCAATTCATGCAACAGTTGCCTTCTTCGTTAATCTGCAGCACCGCCGACGCCGACCCTATAGTTTTCTTGTAGGTAGATAGTCTACAATCATTATTTCTATGAAGACCAGAAAACTGTGCCTCAAGTGGCCAGATTCTTTCTTCTCAGAAAGTAAATTTGAGTACCCGATGCACTGACCCTCAACCAATGCAGTGGCGAGGACTTATGGACTACATCATCCGACCCACTCATGCATGAGCGTCAGGTCGATTCTTTTCCGGAATTCAAGAAAGCTAGTTGACATGAAATATATCCAATGCAACGTGGTATAGCGGCACTTTAAACCTTGGAATAACCAGGCCTGTTGCTGACTTTCCTGGTTGCTCGACGCTCAACATCCTGACGTCGCTCATATCCATCTTGATTGAAGCTTTACTCTCAATCCCCATCCCTCAATAAGCAATATCATTCGCCCGTTATTGGACAAAGAAAGGCGAATATACTTGTTATTGAATGAGATACAGTTCCTCAAATGTCGATCTGGGTGACTATGAGAGAAAAAAAATCAATCCAACAATTTTGCGTCTTGAATAATAGCACATTCCATCATAGGTGATCATTGAGCATGAAAATGACGAATGCCGCCATGGTCAAAGCATGTATGGAGTACTATAATGCAGTCGAAAAGACATATAAGGTCGTGGAGGGTTTCGAGATACTGTACAGGGTGTCCAGAGCAAAACCTTGAAAACGAGCATTGCAACTTTTGACAGCGACAGCATTGACATCCATTATCATTGATTATTTACCTGCTTTATTCCTCTATCCAAGGCATTCGCCCCTTATTGCATCCATCGAAATGGATCGTTACCTTTCCACTCACGTTAGCCAGAGGCCGAACGCCATCGCCATCGAAGACGATACCCAGAAATTGACCTATAAGGACCTAGGACGAGAAGTCGACAAGCTAGCCTTGGTATTGAATAGTTACGACTTGAGCCCCGAGGAGCCGATTTGCATCATAGAGGGAATCAACTCCAAACTAGTCATTGCCCAGCTTGCGGTCATCAAAGCAAGATTGACCTGTGTGCCGATCGAGCCATCGACGCCCAAGCTTCGTCTGAATGATATGCTCGCTGATATCGGAGCCAAATATATTCTTTCTGACAAGGAAGACATTGCCAATAATATCGATCACACAGTGATTCCTATAACAAGCCAGAGTCCTCATGTTACTTCCGATGTGCGAAAAGACAGCCAAGTAAACGGTTCGGTCCATGACCCAGACCACGAATATCGCAGCCATATTTTGTTCACATCAGGATCAAGTGGAAGACCCAAGGCTGTTCAGATACCAGAAAGAGCTATTATTCATCTAGTGACTAAAACAGCTTGTACGCCGCTGGAACCCTCTGACCGCGTTGCACTTATCAACAACCCTGGCTTTGATATTTCTCTCTTCGAAGTGTTCGGTCCCTTGGTCGCAGGCGCAACAATGGTCCCCGTACCTCGCATGGTTGCGACTGATCCGTTCGCGTTCCGAGAGTTCATCGCAGAGAAAGCTATCTCGGTGATATTCTTGACGGCGGCGTTACTTTCTATTACTGGCTTCACCTGTCCTACGGCTTTCCGCGGTGTTCGACTTGTCTTGAGTGCCGGAGATGTGCCCAGTGTGGCTGCCGTAAAGGCCATCATGAAATCCTCTGCACCTCCAAAACATCTCTGGAATACATATGGCCCAACAGAAACAACAACGTACTCTACTATGCACGAAATTAAAGCTGAAGAGCTCCAGCATGATTCCTTAGCCATTGGTGGGCCAGCTGGGGAAACTGAATTGTGCCTTGTAAATGCAAACCTGAAACCCGTTACGAAACCCGGTGAGGTAGGCGAGATCCTTCTTGGGGGCCCCGGTATGACCACAGGATATATCAACCGCCCGGAGGAGAACAAAAACAGCTTCGTCACCCTACATGGAATCGAATATTACCGAACCGGCGATCTAGCAAGGTATCGTGTAGCTACACCTGACGTCCTTGAGTTTGCTGGCCGCGCAGACCATCAAGTAAAACAGGATGGTTTCCGCGTGGAATTAGGAGAAATCGAACAAACCCTCCATGCAAGCGGGTTGTTGTCCGGTGCTGTCGTACGGCAAATTACTTCACCAGATGAACACAAAGAGCCGTTCCTTGTTGCATTCGTGATACCTGCTATTGCTAATACAGTTCGTGCACGTACACTCTCTGAATACCTCAAACAGAGATTGCCATCCTATATGGTTCCGAGGGATTTTATCTTTTGCTCGGAGTATCCCATGACGGCGCATGATAAGGTCGATCGGAAAGCATTGGAGCAGCAGTATCGAGAGAGTCGAGAGAGGCAAGGGGTCGCCAATGGCGAACAGACAAATGGCCATGGAAGTGGCACTGCAAGTATCGTGAAGTCTCTCTGGTCATCCTTGCTGAGCAGGGACAACATCGACAACGAGGATGACTTCCTTGCACTTGGAGGAACGTCTCTTCAGTGCGCCGCTCTGATAAATAAACTGAGGCATCACTTAGGAAAGACGATCTCCATGCGATCACTTCATGAGAACTCACGACTTTGTGATCTGGTTAATTACCTTGACGAATTTGCTGAAGGAGGAAATGCACCGGTCGAAGCAGACAAGTGGATCGCACACTCCAAGATCGCCGACTCTCTGCATGCGGTGCCTGATTGGCAAGCAGAAAATGAAGGAAAAGTATTCATATCAGGTGTCACTGGATTCCTCGGTGTCAATTTTCTGAGCCGATTCCTGCGGATGCCTACAGTCAAAGAGATCGTGTGCGTCGCACGGGCTAAAAACGGCATTACACCTCGAGACAGAGTGGAGGCGACGTTGGAGCAATATGATCTCTGGGACCAATCGAAATCACATATGCACAAACTAAGAGTCTTGACTGGAGATATATCTCTTGATTTACTTGGGCTCCCAGCAGAGCAGTTTGACTGGCTGGCCAACTGGGCAAGTGTGGTCTTCCATCTGGCGGCCAAAGTTAACTTCTGCGATCCATACCAAGCCCATTTTGACTCTAATACACTGGGAACGAAGAACATGTTAGATCTTGCTGCTAGTGGACGGCGAAAGGCCTTCCACTTCATGTCCAGCATCGACGCATGGGGCCCAACAGGCTGGTATTCGGGACCCGTAGGTGCCTCGAAGACGAGCCTCTTGAGCGCCACGTTCGAGGCTTATCCTTCGACATCGGCTATGCCCAAAGTAAATGGGTCTCTGAAATGATGGTCCGTCGAGCTCGCGACCGTGGTCTTCCCACTGCCATCTACCGGCCTGGATTCACCGTCGGTGACTCCCAAACTGGGGCTGGTAATCCGGATGACTTCTTTGCACGCTTGATAGTCGGCAGTATCAAACTGGGTGCATTCCCGGTTCTTCCACGCCAGAGAATGGAGTATGTGACTATAGATTACGTACTCGATGCTACCCTTCATATCGCCTCTCGTAACGAAAACCTCGGCAGATCATACAGTCTGGTTGCTCCCGACCCGAAAGACTCGGTGAACCTCGAACAGACTGTTGATGTAATCAGGAAGCTCGGATACCCATTGAAGCATATCCCCTACTGGGACTGGGTTCGCATGCTACAGAGAACTAGTGATATGGATAATCCCTTGCTCCCTGTGATGCCACTACTCCAGGAGCCTGTGTTGAATGGAATCACCAGGTTTGAGACAAGTAGGGATACGCCTCACTATGATAGCTCCAACACTGTTGCTGCCCTGAAAGACGCACCGAATATTCAATATATGCCATTCGATTCCAAGATGCTGGGCAAATTCATTGATTTCTGGGAGAGCAAAGGATTTTACAAGATGCCACATATTGGTAACTGATGATGGCATTTCGAACTATTGCTACCCAGTACCGTCTTTCGCGTTTCCATGAGATGGTTAGTCCAGAACCGTTGTTGAATCAGATATGCATGCTACCTCCTTTTCTGTGAATTTTATTGTCCCAGTAAAAGAAATACCGTCTCCACATAGACAGGCCTTTCTTGTCCTTCTTTCGTCATTGTCGTGGTTAGTATTTTATGTTTTTCCAATATTAGCATAGTGTTCATCCTCAAAGGGACCCTCAAACTACAATGAGCATAACTAGCGAGACTCGTTACCTTTCGGGTTACTGCATTCTTAGATAGATTCCCGAAATAGAAAAAGGTCATTCAAGAATATGCCCTACTATCATACCCTCATAGTCGTGCATGGTGTGATTGGGACAGCGGTATAGATTGATTCATGGTATAATGTCCCCAAGAGATGTATATCCAATCAATCGTATGTATTGGTAGGTCTCTGGTGCCCTACGATACATTACCTCTCTATCTCTCTGGACTGAATCCAGGACCATAAGTACAAACTTCCAGAAGATATGTCCCAAATGCTATCCGATATTGAAGACTGGGGAAACCATTTCTTAGTTTAGTCGAAGTCTAGCGAATATTACAGATTCACAGTTGTGTGATGGAAATCTGACTGTCGATACGACAACCCTTAATCTAGTTTTAGATAATGTGATAGTGGGATGTACAGCCTTGCATGGAAGTCATAAGAGGAGTAGTCGTAAGGGGTAGCGGAGAGGAAAATGTCTACATATGTAGTGTATCATAGGGCAAGCTATAATCACAAGACACTAAGATTGAACTTCAGAACTGAATACTGACAGCCATAGTATACTCCAGTACTGCTTCTAAGACAAAATCCTCGATCAAAGCATCAACGTTCTCGGATCCATCTACTGGTCAAGGCAGAGGGAGGTCTACCACGCAGCTCCTGTCCCTCATAAGTAATGAACTTGCCCGAAGTGGTCTCCCGCGTAGCCCCATCAATCACCTGCAACATTCCCTTGACGCTATTGTCAATCGTCTCAGGGGGCCCAGCTTCGTAACCCCACTGCTGAGCGACAAAGTCTCCCGCCCGCGTCTGTACCCATCCCGGGTGTAGCGCCACGGCAATCAAATTGGGGTGCTGGGCATGAAGTGCGCGCGTGAGCCAGTTTCCCGCTGCACGGCTAGGCCCATAGGCACCGCCCGGGACGGGTTCCTGGCCGCCGATGGAGCCGACGGAAGAACTAATGTTGATGAGCTTGGGCGTCGCAGCGGACTTTTGGAGCAAGGGCCATAGTCCCTGGAAGACGAGCAAGGGAGCAATTGTGTTTGTTTCAAAAGATGCCCGCAGGTCTTCAGCCGAAGTCAAGGCGGCCGGCGCCATGGGCGCTGCGTACCCGGCGTTGCAGATGAGGACGTCAATGCGGTCTACCCTAGTGGCTGCATTGAAGACTTCGATGACCCTTTCGGGTGCAATAGCCGATGAGAAGTCGAGCTGGAATATGTAAAGGCTGCTCTGCTCGCCTGTGGTGACAGCTTGGGTCTCCGCTTTAAGACTGGTGGCTGCCTCCTCATTGCGGACAGAAGCAATGACTGTGGTAGCTGGTCGTGCCAGGAGCGATTTGACTAGGCCAAGACCAAGGCCTCTGTTTCCGCCAGTGACAACGTAGACTTTGTTGCCGGATGCCATGGTTAACGTAGTAGACAGAAGACAGTGGCACGGTGGAATCTATGGAATGGGTACCAGAGTGAAGTGAGTGGTGACTCGGAAAGCAGTGGTTCGTTTCCCTGTGTACTAAGGTAAAGGGGGGAAAGGAAAGACAAAGGGGCGGTCCGGGGGAGAGGCCAGGGTTTATATAGTTGGGTACATCTCCCAGTCCTTCTTTGCTTACTTTTCATCTGCACTAAGCACACTTCTCTTGTCAGAACTTAGGGTTTCTCAGATTGGATTGGTCGGTTGATCTACTAGCAGTAGAACATTCCATCTCGTTTCTGTTTCTGCCTCATAGTTCTATAAGACGCTAGGGCACACCCTGCAGCAACCTGATCTACATCACAGTATACATATGCGTGATCTAGTCAGCGTTCACACCTCCTGCAGTGGAAGTCGAGGTGCCAACATCATCACCCCACCTTTGGGAACCCTAGTGGCCTTGATGCCTGAGACATGCACCGCCCGCTTGGGTGGCCTAGGCTTTCAAGTGGCTTTGCAAACAGCGGATACTTTGAGAGGCTTTTGTGTGTTGAGAATTGTCTATTGTCTCTTGGGTTTTTTTAGGTATGAGTTTCTTGTCATCGTCGAAGTGCAGAACGACGAATGGGGCTTTTAGGACATTATAATATTGAAGGACCATCATTCATATTTTAGAGTATTCGTTATTCGTAGCACCCATGCTCATGAAAAGTACCTCCATCCTACCCTTATCCACGCACAATATCATAGTCGCCGGATAAGGAAATGTAAAAGGAACACGATAAACCTCCAACAAAAGCAAGTACCTTCCTTTCCCTGGTTGTCCCGTGCAAGCACTCAGTCAGATGCAAAGAACTGCATGGTAGATAGTACTCAGTAACCTCTACGCAGAAGGGTTGCCTGTATATAGTCCCTATTTTCTCGAAAAAGAGGATGACATGCTGCAATCAGAGTACATCCTCAAAAGCCTCCCTGAGGCAGAGATCATGGATAAGCTAATTTATGTTGTATATTGCGAGATTTTGAAGGGAAGGTGCTGTAAATATTCACTTCTCACGATATAAAGCTGTCATAAGACCTGCAACGATCTCTAGCAGCTGTACATGCAGATTGTAGTGAGCACTAGGTTCCCAAAATAACCTAGAAGAGTTTAGGGTATGCTAAGTTGCTTAACCAGTCTCCATATCAAGTGGTGGAGTGGAAACTGTGGAGACGGAAAGGTCGGGCGTCCGCGGCAGAATGTTCGGGGATCATGATGAAACAGGACAAGATCCGTACCCGTAAGCTAGGGCTTAGGGTACGTCACGTGCAAGTACCAGACATCACGTGGGCCACTTGGTTGCTAAGCGAGAAATGGTGAAATTGAGTGTCATCGCCTCTTCCGACCAACCGGACCTTTCAGCGATCGTCAGCCAGCAACAACGAAAAATCGCAACCAGTATGTTATTCCGTCGTTTAAGTGGTGTCGTTATATTGATCTCGGGATCATGAGCTAATTTGTTCCTTTTTTCGCGCGTCTACAGTGCAGATGTAGGTTTCTCTCGTTCTCCGCACCATAGTGAACCTTTAAATGCCGCCGATGCGACCCAGAACCGGCTACGAATGAGATGACACGAACGATGACGGGGAAACTGTTACTGACAAGATTCCGATGATAGTTTCGTCAAGACCCTCACGGGTAAGACCATTACCCTCGACGTTGAGTCGAGCGACACCATCGACAACGTCAAGGCCAAGATCCAGGACAAGGAGGGTATCCCCCCCGACCAGCAGCGTCTGATCTTCGCCGGTAAGCAGCTTGAGGATGGCCGCACCCTGAGCGACTACAACATCCAGAAGGTATGAAGGATCCCATTCTCGAGGTGATTGATTTGGAGGTGGCCATTTCGTGATCGGATATGAAGAACGTGCGATGCGGTTTTGCTAGCGAGGGAGGTGTAGCAGATCAAACCGCACGGGTATCATATTGGGAACGAAATTGAGTCTCGGAATTTGGATATGCATTGTTGAATGAAAGGACCGGTCGGCTGATGGGCATCAACTTTATAGGAGTCCACTCTCCACCTCGTCCTCCGTCTCCGTGGTGGTATCATCGAGCCTTCCCTTAAGGCCCTCGCCTCCAAGTACAACTGCGATAAGAGCATCTGCCGCAAGTGCTACGCCCGTCTTCCCCCCCGTGCCACCAACTGCCGTAAGAAGAAGTGCGGTCACACCAACCAGCTCCGCCCTAAGAAGAAGCTCAAATAGACGATTCCTATCTATCTTGTTACGGTTTTTCTACGTTGCTGTGGTGGAGACTTGCTGGGGGTTATGAGTCGATTGCACCCTGGGAGGTTTTGTACGGCGTTAGAATGATGAAACATTACAGCCAAAGTCAAATGTTAATAGTTGACTCCCTCTCGGATCAAGTTGCAATCAAAAGAATTGTAAAAATTCAATCTCGCTCATAATCCCTTGTGGGGTTAGGTACAGTTTTACAAAGACAATGAAAGACCATCGAACGTAGAAATGAAAACACGATGTCGATACATAATTTGGAATATGGCTCTGCTGCCCGAGCAGATCCATCAAGTCATCTAGCGGATCCAAGATACATTGGAATTGGGAGGAGCCTCAGGTCCCCTACATGCCCAACATGCGTCGCTTGTCGTCATCGTCATGCTTCTCGTCATCATGATCCTTCTCCTTGTCGTCCTTGTTCTTCTTGGAAACCGGGCTTCCATGCCTGCAAGTGTGATTGATCAGCAAAGGAACGGGGTATGAAGGCGGGTATTGAGGGGATTCTTACGCAAAGAATAGGATCTTGATCGCAATGGCGAAACCTGCATGCAGCACAACGACCAGAATCAGTAGAATCTTGCTGGCTTTAGCATCCGTAGCACTCAGCACAGGATACAAGTTACGCAGCAGGAAGAAGACGGTCCAGCCAAAGCCAACTCCAACAAGCGCCCAATTGAGCGCAGTCAGGGGGCTCCAGCTTACCAGCGCAACGGCAATCCAGATCAAATTCGAATATCCATACAACGCCCAGCACTCAATCAAGTCCGCAGTGGAGCTGCCGAACCAGCGCAGTGCACCCCACAGGGCAATTGGTAGAACGAACGTATATCCGTAGACCAAGCCTGCAGCCCCAGAGAGAAGCGTAAAGTCGTATGCGAAGTGCTCCTCATCGTTGTTTGAGAGCCATTGCGAGATAGTGCCGGTTAAAAAGAGGATCACGACCACGGTGGTGGCGATCCAAAATGGGCCGTACAGGTCGGCGTTGCCTTCCAGGACATCGAGGAAGTTACTGCGCGGGTACACTGCCGCGACGCATCGTCTTAGGACCTCGTTCGTATCGACATCAAAGAATTGCGCGTAATAATGGATCGACCACCAGGTATGCTTTGAAGGAGTGCCCCCAGGTGACCTGTCACGACCGCGGGAGGAACCTCCGCCGAGAAAAGGTGTCGAGTCCTGCTGCACTTTGGCATTGCGCTGATCATTTTCGAAATCTTGTAGGAAAAGTGTGTTAGTAATTCCTGTTGGCGAAATCCATGATGGCCTCCACATAGGTGAACAAACGTACTGGAGGGATGGAATTCTAGGTCCTCCTGAAGGTCGGTATGGCCAAGGTCGCCCTGGAGCCAGTATTAGATCGTCTCGAATCGAGCAAGCAAGATAATGAGAACGTACCTCGGTATCCGCATCTACAATCACATCATAGCCCCGGTTCGCCATGTTGGGCTGTTCGATATGTCTAGAGAGCTATGTTGGTATGAAGGTAGAGAGTTGTGGAAGAGTACACATCAGCGGCTGGCGGCATGGTCGTAATCAGCCACGCACTAGCCACCAATTTGTGGGACCCGCGGGTAGTAGCAGGTATGTCCCTATGTTTTGCTTAAGTTTCTACTATAAATGTACGCAGTAGTTTTCTTTCTACTAGTTTTCCGCTTTCCTCCAAATATGAAGGTGGCAATTTTTTAGGTAGCTTTTCTACTGAGATAATTGATCCGCAGTAGTATAATAATGTAATATTGTACATACAAACGCCGTTTTAACCCAATCGTCTCCCCACAAATTATGAAGTGGAAGAAGACTAGAAGCGCTCGTGAGATTGGAAAGCCAACTTGAATCGATTGATATACGACCATATCGTCGAGTCAAAGCCCTTCTTCCTCATCCATACTGACAAAGCACCAACCAAAATCGTGACGGCCACAGTTCCAATTGTTCTCCTGTGCTGCCACAAGAAACCAACCGCCTTCTTTTTCCGCTCTTCGTAGCGCAGTTGTCGCACTTGTCTATCAAAAAGATCTATAGCTTCTTCAGTTGTTTGTTTCTCGAAGATATCTCGAGTACTCTTCAGTACACTGATCTGCGGAATTTTCTTCCAAGCCCCGAGCGGGAGTGATTCTGGAGGGTAGTCATTGAAGAGTTGCACAGCGCTCGATATCAGACCTTCAAGATTTAGAGGACAGGGTAGCTTCGAGAGGGTGAAGTGTAGCATCTCAGGCTCATCTTCAGGGATTTCCAACAGCTCCTTCTTCCGGGAAAGAATAATAGCAACAAAAAGATAAATAGAAACAACTGGTTCCCGAGCCAGCAGGAAGTCAAATAATCGGGCGATGTCACTATACTCTTGAATATCATGAGCATACAATGTAAGAGTCGCTGCAAGCGCAAAGAATGGCTTGATATCCGCAATATGGCGCCGCAGGATAGGATCAGCTCTTTCCATGATTGCTGGGATGAGCTGGAGGTGTTTCACCGTCGGGGAAAGAGAGGGCAGCATATAGTCTCTTATCCGGAAGAGGGACAGCCGCGTAACCGCTGAGGCCGCTGTCCGCCCCCCAAGTACCAGGAGTAAAACTTGCACGATATCATGATAGCCTTGAAAATAGCAGAGCATTGGGTAATGCCGTAACACTTTTTTGATTAGATATGACAGTTCATCTTTCTTTGAAGCTAGCTCTTCGTCACTGCCTATAGGAAAGGTTTAGTGTATGTAGAAGCACGGGATGCAAGGATACCTACAATTAGGATAATAGACAAACGACCTGTTCACGTCGAGCTGGACTTGGTCTTCATCGACATGTGGCGGTAGGTCTTCCCAGTCCCCGAGCTCATGATCTCGGTCGCTTTGGAGAAGGATAGGCCCTATTCCTTAGTTTGTGAAGTGTGACGGCCATTCATGTTGGTGACTTACAAGCTAGTCGTCTAATGTCATCGCGAAGAAAACCACCTTCTGAAGTGGCATATGAGACCAGCGCATCCAAATCGCGCATCTCGCATGCCCGGCGAATCTTATCTTCCTTCTCTGCAATGCGAGCTGCAGCTTCCTCATTTTGAATTCGCTCCAAAACTTGAGATGCACTTTCAGATACAGAATCCTGTGCTGTTTCAAAACATGTCTCTGAGCCCTCACTCTCAGGTTTATCTTTGAATTCAGAACGATGGTCCATCTTTGGCTGGAACTGAAAAAAAAGAAAGAAATGATTCCTTCAGATGTTTGTTAACTCATAGGGGTAGCAAATAAAGACGGCAGTCGATTTAGGAATTAGGATTTATCAGTATTTCGTCTGGTAGGCTGACCATGGATGATAAAATGTATTGCTATTATTATAATTACCAGCTGGCAAGGGCCCCACGAGCTACATGCCAAGTCAGACCGATGCGGGATTGCGTTGATAGTTGACAGCGGGCATCAGGAGAAGATTGACATTTTAGCGCGGGCGGTTTGCATACCGAATGGACAATTGGACACAAGAAGGAGCTATGGAGTAGATGCAAGCTGAGTCTAAAGCGGACACATCACTGCAGGCCTCAGGCTAGAAGCTGCTATGTCCCGTGATTTGCTGTTCATCGGGTTTTATCCGATCCGCCCACCGCCCCAAAGACAGCAAACATGGCGTCAATCCATCAGCCCCTCTAAGACATGAAGTTGTTGTCAGCCTCTGGAGATACCCTGTTCCTCTCAAACAATGCTGCCATGACTTAATGTCACCGATTCTGCACTAAGAGGCCAGCACTGTGTATTTCGGTGCCCCAAAGGTGGTGCAAGAGTTCCTGTTGAACTTGGCCGCAGCTTGAGACGGACCCATGCGTTTCTTGGCAGTTGTACTCACAATTCCACATACTAGTTCCTTTGTTTGTTCCGCTCAAGCTTGGATGCTCAAAGGGGGGATGGTCCTGGCCTATTGAATGCATACTATTGGTACGGAGCACCCTTGTATGGCGATCTATATGTTGTAGTAAGTCCTCAGGTCTACTCGCCTTCCGAGGAGATGTTCTAAGTCATGCAAACAGGTACATTGCCCCTCAGTTAGAAATTCATCTGTTGCCAGGTGCTTGCTGCCTCGATCATCTGCGACGAGGAGCAGTTCATGGTTAAATACGTTCTGGTTTTTTTTTTCCGCTCGGGGCACGCCAAAATGAGATATTATTCTTATACAGCTTCAACCATGTTACATGAAGAACTTCTTCTTTGACCCCAACACCTTTCTATTCTTCACCAAGTCTGCTCTTCTTTTTGCTTGAACGAATTGTGCCACTGTGTGAGCATCGCGTTATCTGTGAAGGTCCAAGCGAAAACCTGGCTAAATAAAACCTACCGGTCTTCTCTCGAAGAGCTTTACTCACCTTTCTTGCATTGATTCTATTGCTTCCAATAATATTCTATTCGCCACGGTACCCGTCCAGGAAACTGCAAATCCTCCATCAGACCACTATGCCTTCCCCAAGAAACTACCAGGACACTAATCCCAATTCTATAAATGCCTCCCTAAAGCGCCACGGTGCTGATGAGATGGAGATAGAAGATGACTTATTCTCTTCTGACTCCCACCCGAAAATGGGCATTTTGTCTCGCACGCTGATACCAAGTCCAATCGTCCAGTGGATACTACCTGCGCGCCTGAGAAGTGAGCATCAAAACGATGTTGTTTTTATCGGCGAGCGAAGTTTGCAAATCAAGGAAGCCGTGTCCGGTTTCCATTTGGAGGACGTCACTTCAAAGTCGGACTTTGATTCCAATATCATAGCAGCGAAAGTCATCAATGTGGGCACAGAGTTACCTTGGGAGGCACAGATGAAATTGGGGGCAAGCTCTGCACCTGTCAATTCACAGCCGCAGATAGGGTTGCCTCCCCAGATATTGCTGTTAAGTCTCGCGTCAAGAGAACTAGTTTTCCTTTATTATTCGACCTCGAGTGATCAATTCGTCCACCACCATCGGCCCTTACCAAGTGATGTCAGTACATTCGAACGGTTCGGTCGAAATATTGCAGTGGAGCCAAGGTAGTGATCTCCTTGACTTACTTGGGCATGGCTAACAGGTTTACCAGATCTCGTGCTGTAGCAGTTAGTGCGTCTTCTGATTATTTTGGTGTCTTTACTTTGAAGCAGCCGCCAGTTCTCCAGTCACAGATGGCAGATCACCAACTAGACCCCATATCAGAGGTATGTGCACAGTTATAGATTTCGCCTTCATGTATTAAGCTGCGGCACAGGAACGCTTCTTTCGTGTTGATGGTGATATCATATTCATGGAGTTTTTATACCCAAGACCGGAAGATGACAGCAAGATTCTACTCCTCCTTTTAGTGGCGCAGGATCAGATTACTCATGCAATATGTTATGAGTGGGATGCGAACGAACATCTGCGCCAAGCTTCGCCAATAGTCACCAAGAGACTACTGCCTTTTGAGGACAGATTACCTACAATGCTCATCCCCTTGACTAAAACGTCCTCTTTCATGCTTGTTACAACGAGTACAATGGCTGTATATAAGAACAGGCTAGATCCTCGGAGACAGCCTAGCAGGTATCCGCTTTGTCTCCCTGATCGAGAATCTCGAAAGTCCCCACTATGGACTCGGTGGGCAAGGCCATTGCGCAATTGGCTATACAACCAAAAGCATGACGACATCTACCTTTGCCGTGAGGACGGTCAAATCTCTTACTTAGGGATCGGCAACGAAGGTGAAGTCGAGAATCAAGCGCATCTGGGACAACTTTGTTGTGACGTCGATGCTGCATTCGATATTCTACACTTTGGTAACGAGGGCGGCGATCTACTCCTTGCCGCTGGCAACACAGGAGATGGTGGTCTATTCGTCCAAAAGGCTCGAGATCATCCTAGATGTGTCCAAAGATTTATGAACTGGTCTCCTGTCACGGACTCTGTACTTGTGAAGTCGCGTAATCAGCAGATGCCGTTGTCTGCAGACGTCGCTAGCGATCGACTGTTCGTTTGCTCCACTTCATCCTTCGAACAGGGTGCAATCGTTGAACTTCGTCACGGGATTGAGGCACAAATAGGCTTGGTCGTCTCTTTGGAGGGCCTGTCAGGAACAAGAGACATATGGACAATGCCGACTGGCACAAGTGGCGGTGTTATTGTGTTAACATCCGATCCTATGTCTTCCGTCCTCCTGGACTTGCCGGCTGATTTCGAAGAAGAGATATGTGCTATTGACGAGGCGGATTCCGGCCTGGACTGTGGGACCCAGACATTAGCGGCAGGAAGCACAGACATAGGTGTTATTATCCAGGTTACGGAAAGGGCCATTCATCTTGGAGCAACCTCTGAATCAATGCGGAGCTCTCGTTTTGAGTTTGGTTATGACCAGAGTATCACTGCAGCTGCCGTAAACGTGTCTGCATCTCTTATTGTCGCCGCAGTTCGCGACCAAGGTGGACTGCACCTTCATGCTAAAAGACTAACCCCATCTGGCGACCAAGTTGCTTTAATCGATGTGGGTGAGCCGTTAAGGATGCATTTCGAACCGGTCTGCATCTCTATCATCACCTTTGACTTTGGGTCTCTCATTTGTGTGGGCGCGGGCAATGGGAAGATATTTCTCTATATCATAGAGAATGAATCTATCACGTTCGTGTCCGAGAAAACCATGGACGTAGCGTATAACGGGGACATATCTAAGGCAATTGATAGCCTTGCAATTGTCAACAAAGTAGAGAACGGGCCGTTGAAGAAGTTTGTCTTACTCTGCGGCCTACGAAGTGGCATCCTGCTCCCACTTGGTGTGACGTTCGACAGTGTTAACGCTGTGTCTAGTATTGGTATGTCTACCTCATATCTGAAGATTAAAGTCTTGCTGACTTATGGTGTGCATTAGTGATAGCCCAGGCGACCCCGCAAAGATTAGGCCATACGTCTCTGAAGGTGCAGAGTAGAGGAGACCTTGCGTTATTGACTTGTGGGCAAGGATTTTGGCAAATATCGTGCGCACATGACAGTGCGACGCCGGACTGTACTCTTCAGAGGATTTGGATCACGGACCAGAATAATGTAAGTCTCAGTATTCCCACACGCTCCCAGATACAGCAGCTAATGGCCTCAGCCTGCCTACCACCCAAGAAGTATCCACAGCTTTTCAGTGGCCAACTTTGCGAACTCGGACGTGGAAGGTCTCTCTAATACGCTTTTCTGCATCGCGGACGGACAACTTATGGTTTGCACCTTGCAGCGAGTTGAGAAGACTGTCCCCAGGAGAATAGGTGTGCCAGGCAGCGCCACTAAGTTAGCATATTCTCAGTACCTGAAGAGCTTGGTTGTGGCATACAGCCGAACTGAATTCGATACCGACGCAGATCCTATCAAGCGCTTCACGCGCTCTTACATTGAGTTCGTCGATCCTGATTCACAGCAAGCCATCGGCGGTCCTGATGGACTCAGGCCCTGGAGGCCTCATGGAGCAGCCGGAGAGAAAATCAGTTGTATTCTGGAGTGGACACCCAAGAAAGGTGATGAGGAATATCACTTCATAGTTATCGGCACAGCCCGTAAAAACCAACAGGACCGAGGCCGGGTCATTTTTCTACAGACGTCAAGGATGTCATCAGATCCTTCGCAAATCGAATGTAATGTGAAATATGTTCACAAATTCGAGGGACCGGTTTATTCGATCGCACCATTTGGTAACTTTACGCTAATGGTTTCAACCGGGCATGAGATTGTACCATTAGAACCCAAATTCTCACAGACGAGATGGCTTCGGGCAGCAAGGTACCCTGTACCGTCTCCAGCGGTTTCTATGAGCTCCCATGAGCCCTACTTATACATGTCGACTTCAAGGGAATCTCTTATGATCCTCAATGCATCTGAGGAAAAGCTGGTGCTCCATGCTTACGATCGGCATAAATATGACGGGCTCTCCCATGTACATCTTGGAGGAGATATGCAACTCACACTAGCCTCCAGCAGAGGTGGCCGGATCAGTCTATTGACTGAGAGAAGAGTAACTGAGAACGATAAGATGATGCCCGTAGCATTGTGCGAAGCACATCTTTCTACGTCTATAACGAGGCTCAGTACAGGCACCTGGCACTCCACTATGCCTACCAGCTGCCAAGTGATCTACGGGACAGCCATGAACGGCACAGTGTATCGCTTCTTGACACTGAAGGAGAAGGAATGGCGTTTGCTGTATTTGCTGCAGAATTTGTGCATCCGCGACACAGTCATATGCCCTTTCACGCTGAAAAGGAAACGGCAGCGGAACCCAGCAGGAAACGAATCCCTTGAATTCCAGCCCTCTCAGATGCACATCGATGGGGATGTGTTGAGTCGTTTATCGATCCGAGGGCCGGGCTATTTAATGTACATGCTAGTTACGGAAGAGTTCTACAGTCCCTCGACTCCGGAAACTGGCTCGCCACAGGCCATTTATGAACGGTTTTTAGAGCTGTCGAAGGACCTTCTTGGAGAAACCTCGAACCCGGTTGAAGATGTAATGAAGTGGCTCAAGCGCACACTGCATGTGGGATTCTAGATGGGGAGGATCTTAGATGAATTGGAATGCACATATGCTGTACATTGAGAATAGAACATAATGGACGACCAATGAATTAGAAGAATTGGTTCTGTTCTGAGTATATGCAAGGGATGTATAAATTTCAGCGTGACGGAAAGGAAGGAAGAAAGAAAGAAAGAAGCGGTTAATTTCGTCGGCGAGGTACCTTGACGGCCTGAGGCGGCCAACTGGCGGCGTCTCGGATATCAAAGCTCCAAGGATTTGTCCCCACCAAAACCATCCCAAAATTCTTATTACCCACTCAAAGGCACTCGTCGAGTCTCCAGCCTTGGACCTTATCAACCACAGGGGGAAAAGGTGCTCGTTATCTCTTTTCACCTCCGTCTTTCTTTTTCAATTTCCTTGTGGAGGAATTTCGGCTTAATTTGCCACCCTGTTTTTCGACGGCCGCAAGTAGCTGCCGGAGAATCTGATATTCTTGTTCGTGCACCTGCCCACAACCCATTCATTCATCCAACTCCTACACGGGTGGCGCTTTCTTCCTCCTTGTCACTAACATATGTCCCGTAGGAGTACTCAGGGATATCTCTACGGTCTTCACGATTCGCCTTGATTGAACCCGATCAGTAGCTCGATATCTCCAAGATGGCGCCTAAGAAGAAGGGAAATAAGAGACAGGAGGCTGATTGGGAAGCCGAGCTCGGTGAGGCTGCTCCCGGAGCCGGTGGTGAGGCCGCCCCCCAGGAAGATGCCGCTCCCGCCGAGGAAGAGGCTGGCGGTGGTGGTCTACTCGCCACTTTGAGGAAGAACAAGGCCAAGAAGGGAAAGAAAGGAAAGCAGCAGAACGATTTCGTCGAGGGTGAGGACGCACCTGCGGCGGCCGAGCCTGAAGACTTCTCCAGCAAGCAACCTGAAGAAGGTACTTTCGATGACGAGGATGACGTCTTCTCCAAGAAGAATCAGAAGGCTGCCCAGGCCGCTGCAAAGGCCGCTGCTGCGCCCAAGGAGGCCGAGGATGAAGGTGAATTCCGTGTGAAGTCCAAGAAGGAGAAGGAAAGGGAAAAGAAGGAGAGAGAAAAGCAGCGGAAGAAGGAACAGGTATCTATCGGCCTTTTGGTCCCGGTCTCGGTCTCAATCCCATTACACTTGTGCTAATTATTGAATCTGCTATCTAGGCCGCTAAGAAGAAGACTGAGAAGCCTCAGCAGCCTGCTAAGGCTGAGCCTGAGAAGAAGCAAGAGCCGACACCCGCCGCCGCCGCTGCTCCCGCCCCCGCTGCCCCCGAACCTACTGGTGGCAAGAAGAAGAAGATTCCTGCCCACCTTGCCGCTCTCCAAAAACAACAGGAGGCTCTCAGAAAACAGCGTGAGGAAGAGGAGCGACTTTTGGCCGAGCAGCAGGCTTTAGAAGAGGAAAGGAGACGCGCGGAAGAAGAGGAAGAGAAGAAGAGAGAGGAAGCTCGTCAGCGCAAGAAGGAAAAGGAGAAGGAAAAGAAGGAGCAGCTCAGAAAAGAAGGAAAGTTGCTCACCAAGGCCCAGAAGGAGGCAAAGGAGCGCAATGAGCTGCGTCTGAAACAGATGCTTGCTGCAGGTGCAGGCAAGGTTGCCGGCTTGGAAGAACAGGGTGCCGAGAAGAAGAAGCCTGTTTACGACAACAAGAAGAGGCAGAAGAAGAAGGGCCCAGCTAAACAGGAAGAGGACTTGGAGCTGCCGCTGCACGGGCTAAGGCCCAGCGTGAAGCTGAAGAAGAACGCCGAAAGAAGGAGGCCGAAGAGAAGGCGAAGGCTGAGGCTGAAGCCGCCGCCGCCGCCTCCGCCGCTGCTGGTGGAGAGGAGAGCGAACTGGACGACTGGGAGAAGGCTGCTGACGCAGAAGACGACGACGTGAAGGATTCATGGGACGCTCCTACAGATGAGGAAGACAATGCCGAAAAGCCAGCCACAAATGGTGCCAAGGCCGAGCTCCCTGAGAGGCCTGCTGCAGCTCAAAAGAAGGCCGACGCTGAGGAGTCGTCTTCCGAGGAATCTTCCGAAGACGAGTCTGATGAAGAACAGTCTGCAGCACAGAGGGCCGTTGCTCAAAGGAAAGCCGAAGCCGCTGAGCGCAGAAAGAAGCAGCACGAAGAGGCGATGGCAGCTCGCTCAAAGGACAACCTGCGCTCCCCCATTTGTTGTATTCTGGGACACGTCGATACCGGTAAGACCAAGTTGCTGGACAAGATTCGTCAGACAAATGTCCAAGAAGGCGAAGCTGGTGGTATTACTCAGCAGATTGGTGCTACTTACTTCCCTGTGGATGCTCTGCGTCAGAAGACTGCTCCTGTGAACAAGGATGGTTCATTCGACTTCAAGATTCCTGGTCTGTTGGTCATCGATACACCCGGTCACGAGTCCTTCTCCAATCTGCGTTCCAGAGGTTCTTCGCTTTGTAACATCGCCATCTTGGTCGTCGATATCATGCACGGTCTCGAGCCGCAGACCCTCGAGTCCATGAGGTTGCTCCGTGACCGCCGCACTCCCTTCATCGTTGCGCTGAACAAGATCGATCGTCTGTATGGCTGGAAGAAGATTGATAACAACGGCTTCCAGGAGAGTTTGGCTATGCAGAATAAGGGAGTCCAGAATGAGTTCCGCACGCGTCTTGAGCGGACCAAGCTCCTGTTCGCCGAACAGGGTTTCAACTCCGAGTTGTACTACGAAAACAAGTCCATGGCTCGCAATGTCTCTCTCGTGCCGACTTCCGCTCACACTGGAGAGGGTATCCCCGACATGCTGAAGCTGCTGACCACTTTGACCCAAGAGCGTATGACTAACTCGCTCATGTACTTGTCGGAGGTCGAGTGTACTGTTCTTGAAGTGAAGGTCATTGAAGGTCTTGGTACGACCATCGATGTTGTCCTTTCCAACGGTATTCTCCGGGAGGGTGATCGAATCGTACTATGCGGTCTCAACGGTCCTATAGCAACCAATATTCGAGCGTTGCTGACACCCGCACCTCTGAAGGAACTTCGTCTGAAGTCACAGTACGTTCATAACAAGGAAGTCAAGGCCGCCCTTGGTGTTAAGATCGCAGCCAACGATCTCGAGCAGGCCATTGCTGGTTCCCGGTTGATGGTCGTCGGACCTGATGATGATGAGGAGGACATCGAGGATGAAGTCATGTCTGATCTGGAGAACCTGCTGAGCAAGGTTTCCAAGGATCAGCGTGGTGTCAGTGTCCAGGCCTCGACCCTTGGTTCCCTCGAAGCTTTGCTTGAGTTCCTTCGTGTCTCTAAGATCCCCGTTGCCAACATCTCCATCGGCCCTGTTTATAAGCGTGATGTGATGATGGCTGGTACGATGTTGGAAAAGGCTAAGGAATATGCCGTCATGCTGTGCTTTGACGTTAAGGTTGACAAGGAAGCGGCTGCATATGCCGAGGAAGTTGGTGTCAAGATCTTCACCGCAGACATCATCTACCATCTGTTCGATGACTTCACTAAGCATATGGCTGAATTGACGGAGAAGAGAAAGGAAGAGAGCAAGATGCTTGCTGTCTTCCCTTGTGTTCTCCATCCCGTCGCCGTCTTCAACAAGAAGGACCCTATCGTCATTGGTGTCGATGTCATTGAAGGTAGCCTGCGGATGCATACACCACTTGCTGCCGTTAAGAGCAACCCAACAACCGGAGCCAAGGAGATTATCGAAATTGGCAGAGTGTAAGTCATTTCCCCTCTTTTCTCTATACCCCCGGCGCCTTGCTAATGTCGGATTATAGTGTATCAATTGAACGTGATCACAAGGCAGTCGCCGTGGTCAAGAAGGGTCAACCCTCTGTTGCTGTCAAGATCGAAGGAGCTAACCAGCCCATGTACGGACGTCAACTGGAAGAGAAGGACACTCTGTACTCTAAGATCTCCCGTGCCAGTATTGACACCCTTAAGGAGTTCTACCGTTCGGACGTGTCGATGGAGGAGTGGGGTCTTGTCAAGAAGCTCAAGCCCGTGTTCGACATCCCTTGATTTTGTACGAACTTATGACCCACCATAGCCCGGGGACCTACGATTCATTTCGACAGGTCTTTGATGGTAACCATGAGGCATTCGACACTTGGCCGTTTGCCGGAGTTCCGGGCAGACTCAACTATGGGGTAACGAGCTATCCGACATGTGCCCATATGTATAGGTTTACCATATAGCGATGTGATTTCTTTATGTGCCGTGATGATTTAATGTACTACGTCGAAGTAGTGCATGACGTGATGAAATAAAACGGAACTGGTTAGGGATAACGTGTGTTAAAAGATGGACCACGGTTATCTCTGGGGTTAGGCTGGGATGGAGAAAAAAGAATAAAAGTCACCTAAAAGACCTGCATGCATGAGGAATGATCACGACTGGATTGTCCAAAAGCAAGATGTCTGTACATGAAATGGATTTCAAGAGGCCGTGGTCGATACCAATAGTTATGCTTGTTAATGATACTTGCGATTTAGTTCAATGCATTGGATTTCTTTTGACTTCTACCACATGTGATTAATATAAGGCGGTCTTTACAACGACCTCACTGTTCCAATAACCCATATTCTCCCTTCGTCCAAGATAACCATAGCCTACCCAACTAATACAATATATACAACCACCCTTAACCTTCCCAAACCCCTCCCCCGAAAGGCGCAGGACAGAAGAAACGACAAAGAGAGGAGAGACGAAAAGAAAAAACGAAATTACTCCGACTCCCCCTCCCACCTTTCAACCCTACCGCCCCTATCCGCCCAATCCAACCAACTCCCATCATAGACCCCAATCCTCTCAGCATCATACCCAGCCTGCACGGCCAACTGCGCCGCAGCCTTGGCCCTCACCCCAGCCTTACAATAAAACACAATATCACCCTCCTCGCCAACCCCAGGCTTGGGGTATCCAAACCTCGTCTCGAACTCCTCCGGCGTGAGGAAAAACGCATCCGGCTGCGACGCAAGAGGCACGGAGACAGCGGACGGGATGATACCCGTCGAGCTCAACTCGGCGGGCTCGCGCACGTCAACGAGGATGAGGTTCTTTTGGGGTTTTGTTCCGGGCGAGGCCGGGAGGGAGGCGTTGATCTTTCATTGCGGGTCAGTATCACATTGTTTTCTCGAGCAGTGGTTCTTGATTGCTTTTGTAGGTGTGATAATATGGCAGGGGAATGAATACAAGACCAGGGGCAAACGTACATCTTCAAACCCCCATTGTCTGAAGGATGGTTCACCGTCGCTTTTCCATCGGCGGAAGCTCTGTTGCACTGGAGCCAGCTTCATGCGGCGTACGGAGGGAATTCCACGAGCGAGACATGGCGATGGTGCTGTTCCGAAGGCTCGAGTTATTTCCGGGACGGTGCGGAATGATGATCTGATTGTGGCCGGAGCGGAGATTTGCTTTGCGGTGCGGGAAGCGAGCCCTGTTAGGGGACGTCGGATGGATTGTATCGAGGCCATTTTGGGTTGTGATTGGGTTTATGATAGTATGTTGCAGTCCTCAGGATTGATGGAGATGGAGTTGAGGTGATGTCAGTCATGAATGTCTGGGCGTCCTACCGCCTGCTTAAAGAGGAGGATGGTAACAATACGACGGGTGAATCATGGATGGAAGATTACAGTATGGTTACGTGGGAGTAACGGTTAAGGGCAGGGATTCCCTGGACGATCGGTGCAGGGGTGTCCCTTGTCAGCACTTAACCTCAGAACTTTATCTTTGCTACACTCGCTTCGGTTCATACTGAACATGAATGAAAGACTCACAATTATTATTATTCTAGGTAGCGTAATCTAAAAATGGCACGTCCTTCACCGCTCCACTGCTCATGAAGCTGACGACCCTGCATGAATCGTTTAATATCATGTACGCCTGGACGACTCGGCCCCCTATATCGCGAGCGCGGGAGTCCCTGTCGCTCGTCATCGGCACAAGCATGATCCTGATTTTCATCCGTTAAACAAGAAAAGGTAAAACGAAATAAGTCACCCCCGAAAAGAACAAAACCCAAGGTGAAAGAATAGTACAAAAGAAGTAGGTACAGGTATAGAAGGAAGAGAAAACGGGTTCGGCCATTCTATCTCCAGGATAGAGAACATAACACTGGAGGGCCAAAAGCCAAAAGGGGAGCTGAAAGAAGAGGGAAACGGGGGGAATTGCAATTATAGAAGTTTAGGCACGAGGGCGGAATGTAAGCAGGCAGTCATCCTAAATTGCATTAGCATTGTGTGACGGGGTCTTTCGTAGGATAAAGATATACATACCTGGGGAAAGATAGTGGCAAACACCTTGATGTCTTCCGACTTGGGGGTGGTGGTGTGCTCCCATGTCATTTCCATGCTGGCCTTGCCAATCATGGCCATCAAGTTCAGCTGAGCGTAGGTCTGGCCCAGGCAGTAATGAGGTCCAGTGCCGAAGACCAACCAGTTCTTGGGGTTTTGCTCAGCAGTGCCGGTGATCCAGCGATCCGGGTCGAAGGAGTCCGGGTTGGGGTACGCCTCCTCGTCGTGGGTTGCAGGCCAAACGGAGGGGATGATCATAGATCCCTTCAGCACGGTAATCTTCTCGGTGATGGGGAAGTCCTTCTTGACCAGGTACGGGACCATGATAACGGGTGGGCGGTAACGCAGAGTCTCCTTCACGACAGCACGAGTGTATTCCATCTGATCGAGCAGCTCCATGGTGATAGGCGCGTTGATATCACCGTTGCGAAGGCGCACATTTTCCTCGCGGACCTTCTCCAAGACCTCGGGGCGGTCGGCCATGAGCTGGAACAACCAGGTAGAGGCGGCGCTAGTCGCATCCTGAGATGCAAACAAGAAGGTGAAGACAGTCTTGGCGATTTCTTCGTCAGTAAAATCCCGAAGAAGTTGAGGAGGCTTCTCCGCGGGGATGCCTTTAGCGATGTCCTCCCGATACTTCGCAGAGACCTGCTGAGCCTTGACCCAGGCGTCCATGATACATGAGACTTCTCCACCGGCAGCCATGCGCGCCTTGCTCTTGGCGGCACACTTGGCGAACTCCTCCATAACCATATCCGCGGCCTTCTTTCCATACCATGTCTTGGTGAATGGAAGGATAATCGGGAAGTTGACCAGCTCCAAGGCAGCCGTGATCAAGTAGTAGTCATCGTTGATCTTCTGGATGACCTCATCGGTCATGTAGTGACCCACAAAGGTACGGCAGGAGATGGCGGTCATCAGTTCACGGAATTCAGGCATCCAGGGAGTGGGCTTGTAGTCATTGGCCTTGGACTTCTCGAGGAAGTTCTTGAAGTACTGGTTAAAGGTCTCCTCCTGGCGGGGAAGGTAGCAGGTGAGCGCGGAACGGGTGAAGAGGCCATTCAAGCCTTTCCGAAATTCAACATGGTCCTTGCCATCCAAGAACACCCAATTGTCCTCTCCAAGCAACTTATGCGCCGAATCGACGACACAGGGTTTGACGTAGGCGGGAGAGTTGAAGATCTTCCTGGACATGTCACGGGTGGATGCGATGACGACGAACCTATCGAGGTTTGCTATCAGCCATTGTCCCAATGGAGAAAGGATACTCGCACAGTGAATACATACTTGTGGAAGACAGAAACGCAGCTGAGTTCTCCGCTGTCCCATTTGGCCTTGTACTCGTGGAACTTGGGGTTGACCGACTGAAGGAAAGGTCCCATGAATGGCAGCTTCCATCTTGGTCCCACGATGGATCCTTTCTGATAGAAGTACCGGACTGTATTGAGTTCAACACATCAGCCATTGTTTACAACGGATGCTGCAGAGGCAGCCGGGGAGGACACAGGAGTCGGAGACTGAAGGGCAGGATGGAAAATATTCAAGGGCCATGTAGACAACTTACATTGATCGTAGATAACAGCCGCGATAAATAGAGTCAACAGAGCCTTCCAGACATTGAAATCGCCAAGGAGGGACCCAAGCAGTCCGGAGGGCTGGAAAAGCTGAGGGACAACGGTAGCATCCGCTGATGGGGAGACGAAGCTCCCAGTAACATTGGCCATGATGGAATGGTGGTGGTGCTGGAAACTCTCTTGCTCTCGCTCTCCAACAGTGAGATCAAGGAGAAGGAAGAGAAAGAGTGACGGCAACCCCGTGGACAGACGCACCACTTCTTTTCGGGAATTTGGCGAGAAGAGTGGCCGAGAGTACTAGGAGAAGGGGAGGTGGGAAAAAAAAATTAATATTATTAGATCGGCGGACGGTTACGGATACATTACTGTTAAGGAAAAAAAACGCTTCGGAAACACCGGAGAAACTCCAGACGTAATTAGAGACACCCCAATGGTCTCCACTTGAATGCCATTAATTATGGGACTTCTATCCAAAAAATTACGGACGGGAGAGGCATCTGGAGATGCTGGTCGAACACACGCGTGGGGAGCGATTGATGAAGTATACAAAGATTACAATGGAATAGTTACTAGCGACTAGGGTCATCCGGGATGCTGGGTTTCTGTTGGCCACTAGTGGAAGTTTCGGGACCCTTACAGCGTCCGGTATTGACAGGGATCCAATACGAGCAGTCCATTAAACCTATCATGATCCCTGTTCGCTACTCTGTACATTGCACGAACTTCCCCCCTGACATCCTGGTATTGGTATAGTACTGCTAGTATTTGTAACGAACGTCTGCACCTTTTCTGCAGTGTTCATCTCAGTCCATCCTACTAGTACTGACTAGTCCTAGTTCTAGCGGTTGGTCTCCCCGGTTCATGATACAATGTACATTGTAAATAACAGTACACACCCTCTCCATGAGTTAATACTGGTAGACACGATTCTGACTTTTTCAACTGTTTCCCCCTTTTTTTGTGATGTTTTGTTTTTCTTGTTTTTTTTATTCCGAACCATTGGAAGCAAAGACCGGTTCGGTTCTAGAATCGAGTCAGGAACTGGAACCACTGAATAATTGTTCTGATCCCCTATGACAACGTAAGGTTCACTATTGGATCCATAGTTAACTAACCCGATTATTTATTATAAATAAGGTCGAATTAGTTATCATAGATCAAGCAATCAATCAATTCAGACTATCAATAATATGTATTTACGGAGTACAAAAATATCACCTAATACAGCAGATGTTAGGACAGTGAAGTATATCATCGCCTGAACCAAAACAGAGTCTGCATGGTGAAACCCAGATATACGTGCACATGGGTGGAAATAAATGTCTTCCCCTTACTCCGGGAAATTGTTCGAGAAGGTGTCGAGTAATCAGCGAAAAGGTGATTCGGTTGTCGAGATCCCGGACCCTTCGTTCCCCTTGGCCTGTGCACGT